GTCCTCGTGACTCGTTAGGAATGGCATGCCTCAACGTGCACACTTTGCTGCAGATTGGCCAACAGGCAACACTTGCCACACACTAGAGACCCTACCGATCGGTTTGCTGTTTATCAGAAACCCGCCTGCAAGGTTAGAGCTCAGTGCTTACCCTGAGATCCCCCACATGCGACACTGGCCGCACATTCTCATGGCGCCTGTCTGGCGATGATGCAGCTTCAAATGCCAGTCAAGCTGGCGTCGGCATTGTTTTGAGTCCCCGGGCTGAAGCTGACCTGATTGATTGGATCCCAGTAAACAGTAGGATGTGCGCCGTTAGATTAGCTGGTTCGTTCCGTGCTACGAAGTCGCGCGGGGACAAACGGTGCCTGTTTGTCATTGCGGCCTACGCCCCTACAAACTGTAGCACTAATTCGGTGAAAGATGATTTCTATCAGCAACTTCACAAGCTCCTTCGTTACAGAAGAAGCACGGATACTGTGGTGTTGGCTGGCGATTTAAACGCCCAAGTTGGAAGATCGTCCTCTGATGAGCTTCATCTGGGCGGCCAACATGGTGTAGGCTCCCGTAATCATAATGGTGAGCGATTGCTACAGCTGTGTGAAGATGTTCGCCTCTTTCTCGTGAGCACTAACTTTCGACACAGCACCCGCAGAAGTGACTTGGCGGTCATCAGCCTCGGGCCAGCCATGGACGCAAATCGATCATATCGCGATCAGTTACCGCTGGAGAGACTGTGTCCAAAACTGTCGCTCGATTTGGAGCACGAGCGTGGACTCTGACCACGCACTTGTCTGTGCTGACCTCCTGGTGCGTTTCGGTGGACGTCCGCAACGTCGATGTGAACGGATTGACACCAGCCAGCTGGCGAAGCCAGATGTTCTGAATGTGTGCCAAAGTGCGCTGACATCTGGGCTGAGTAAGCGCCCACTAAACACCGTTGAAGATCACTGGTCGCATATCCGTCAAGCGTTGCTGTTAGCAGGCATGTTTTCATGTGGCAAAGCAAATTGCCAAACCGGACATTAGGTCTCTGAGCAGTCTCTGGAACTTATGGATGCTCGCCGACGTATTCCGGCTGGAAGCGAATACAATGAGACCGCAAAAATCTCAGGGCAAAACTACGTGCTAGTCTAAAGAAGGACCACGAAACCTGGTGGTCTGTTCGTGCTTCTGAGATGGAAACAGCCGCTGCCATTGGTAATCATCATTCATTCAGTCATTCCGTCTGATACGGAAAACAAGCAGCAGAAGACCTGGTGTTAGTGAGACCATACGCGACGAGAGTGGGCAGATGATCCACAGCCTGTCAAAACGCTTGGAGCGTTGGGCTGAACACTTTGCTAGGCAATTTAATCAACCTGAGTTATCGCTTTCTTCTTCGGGCATTGAGCGCCCTTCTTTCTACGCCGTCTCCTTGGGTCCGCCATCACGCGCAGAAGTCGAACGTGAGATCAGGCTGTTGAAATTGCATAAGGCCGCAGGGGCAGATAAAATTCCCCCAGCCCTCTTCAAATTCGGGGGACCTGCTCTAGTAGGTGATCTACACGAGTTGCTAGTAAAATTTTGGGAGCAGGAGACAGTCCCGACAGACTGGAACCGCTCCGTCATTGTCCCAATTTTCAAGGGAAGCTCCCGTTTAGAATGCGGCAATCATAGAGGGATCAGTCTGATTTCGATCGCCTCTAAATTGCTTGCCTCTGTCATTCTCCACAGACTGACTGGCACTCGTGAAAGCCAGATTCGTGAAGAGCAAGCCGGATTTCGTCGAGGTCGGGGCTGCATCGACCACATCTTCACATTGCGTCAAGTGTTGGAGCACCGCCATGTTTATTGGCGGCCCACCGTCGTCGTGTTTCTTGACATCAAAGGTGCCTTCGACTCAGTCGATCGATGTGCCCTTTGGGACTGTCTGCTGAGGAAAGGTGTGCCTGATAAATATGTAAACATTATCAAAGCGCTGTACGCACATAGTACGGGCAGGATGAGGGTTTATGGCAAACTCTCGCCACCCTTCAGTATCACCAGCGGTGTGAGACAAGGATGCCCGCTGTCACCTTTCCTCTTCAACTTCGCTATTGATGAAGTCATGGAAACAGCGTTCGCTGGACACGACCTAGAAGGTGTGGAGCTACTTCCTGGTGAGCGACTTCTTGACTTGGAGTGTGCGGACGATATTGCCCTAATCTGTGACAGCTCCCAAACAGCACTGGACCGATTAGCACTGGCTGTCAATCGTTTTGGGCTATGCTTTGCTCCATCGAAATGCAAAGTACTTCCCCAAGATTGGCACGGACCCAACCCTGCGCTAACGCTTGGTGGTGATCTGCTAGAAGTTGTTCAGGAATTCAAGTACCTGGGCAGCTATATTAGCACCCGTGGGATTGAAGATGAGGTTACGAACCGTATAGCAAAAGCTCGAGGTGCTTTTGCCAATCTCCGCCACCTGTGCCGCAGACGCGACATTACTCTCGCCCTGAAGGGCAGAGTTTACAACGCAGCCGTTCGTTCAACTCTCCTATATGGCTGTGAAACCTGGCCTATCAGGTCGACAGATATGAAGAGGCTCGTCACATTCGATCATCGCTGCCTTCGCAGCTTAGCTCATGTCTGGTGGGAACACCGCGTGAGCAATGAGCGTGTTCGACGTCGCATATTTGGTGCAGGAAGAGCGAGTGAACCGCTCAGCACCATTATATCACGCACCAGGCTCCGATGGCTGGGCCACGTGTTGCGCATGTCAGCACACCCACTCCCGCGACGTGCATTGTTTGCGCGTTGTGAGTGCGGTTGGAAGGAGAGGAGGGGAGGCCAAGTGATGACTTGCTCGAGAGAAATGTAAACCCTCACTTCGAAGTTGGCGTCGGTTGGTGTATCCCGACTGCCTGGCTGGGGTCCTAAGGACGGTGAACACGTTTGGTTGGACACACTTGCCGATATGGCTTGGAGCCGGCCCCAATGGCGTCTCTGTTGTGAGTTCCTTTGTCCATCCCCCTCCTGTTTATCATCCCCCTCCAATCACGATCTCACTTGTTAGGTATAATATGACTCTTTTACGGCAGCCAGCTGTTAGCTCTCCGGAACAATGTCCATCCGTAACTGGGAACTCAGCGGGCGTACCACTGTTTGCTTGTCTTGTCTTTTGTATTGTGGCACAATAGCTGAGGTGTTTTCCACCTCCAGCTAACGTGTAATGATGATGATGATGATGATCCTCCGCACACAACCGTTGTCAGAGGCCAAAATTCGACGCAAATCACTTGCACGGATCGGCCAGGATTCGCTTTCATGCAACAGGACCGCGTAAACACAGGCATTGTTGACCCTGCATTTTACCGAGAGTGAAAAGTTAAGATGACGCCACAGATGCCTCGGATCAGAGAAAGCTGATCGGACTTTGTCAATAATGAGAGAAATCTCTTCCAATGGCGCCATCAGAAGAAACGCAGCACCCGAGGTAGATGAAGCTATATACTTGTTCAAGTTGTACGCCTTCGAGAATCAGCACGGGGGCAGGTGGATGCCAATGCTAGAGTAGGATCTCGAGCTGCGATGGAACGGGTCAGACCATAGTTGGCAGTTACAAGTACCAAGAGGTTCAGAACGATCTGCATGATTTGTGGGTCCTTACCGAGCAAGACAATATCGTCAGCATAGTTCACATCAGTCGCGCGGTTGCCTAGAAGTAGCTCCACGTCAGGATGTTGGAGACCTTCCAGAATGCTTAATAAGGCATTTTTAATCGCAAAGTTGAAGATAAACGGGGAAATGGCGCATCCCTGTCGAACACCGTGAGTGGTAATGAAATAAGAAGTGATTAAACTGTAAGCTGAATACTAAACAAAAAGAGCAAATAGAAGTTATCAGTCATTAAAAAGGGAAAAGATTTAAGCAGTGCGCCTGTACGTTGCACTGACGCTTCCCTGTTACGCAACCACCACCAGTCGCACGTGTGCTAAGGATACCCCGAAAGTCGTCCGGTCCCCTACGCAGGGTCGGACGGGTAACATCCGGACTGCAACTCAGGTACCTTATCCTTTCGCGAACTAGCCGATTGTCAGTCAAGAAATCGAGTGTCGGTACTTTCTTGAATAATTGAGTGGATTACGTCATCCATAAGGGTGTGTTACCATCTACCTCAGTCTGTACGATTCCGGTTGAACTAAACACCTTCTCTGCTAGCTCCGAACCCAAGCCGAAAATCAGAAGGCAACGCTTGGAGGCAAAAGCGTGTTGCGAAACCAGCTACCGAAACTAAAACAAGTAGTGTGAAATCAACGGACATTATTATAAGTCAATCGAGGAAGATTCACGTACCAGAGCAGCTGTTCTGATGGGTAGATCAGTTCCGCTAGCCAATGGGGAGGTAGGTACGTGCGTCGTGTAGACCTAAATATTCCTGATGTAAACATTTCTGAAACGTCTTGATGTTACTTTCGTATATCATTGGTTCGAATCGTTTTCCCATTGAATTAATGAGCTTTCCTGGGAGATTTTATTCTCCCTGACGGGGGTGCCACAGAATAATAGCGTTGTAAACGTGCGGTCGCTGATGCTTAAGGCTTCCATATACAATACGTGGGTTATAGTAAGTCGGGGGGCTAAAGTGAAAAGCAGGTACTTCATAGGCGGTTCGACAGTTTCATCACAACCGTCTAGTAAGAGTCGGAACTGTATGGAAGATGTGCATGACGTCTCGTGGTAAGCTGGATGCCGTTGTCAAAAGTGTCCATGGAGGACCGAGCGTGAGGTGAGTGGATGGTTTGAAAATGAACTACAGCTGGCTGCTATAACGATACTGAAAACGAAATGGGAAGGCGAAGAGAAGGGGAAACAAAAATGGCTTTTTAGGCGATCATATTCAGACGAGCCTGCTGACCTGCTACAGACACCTATAGACATGCTGCATAAGATGGAACGAATAAAAAACGGGAGGGAAGTCGAAATAGTATCAGGGGCGTGCTTCAGAGGTGGAAAGGTCGATAAGGATCAGGGTTTACCTGCATATCCCGAAGAACCCATGAGAATCCGAAATCGGGGTGGACGAGCTCAACGAGCCACAGGAGAAATTCCAAAGTGCGAATGTCTCCATGAAATCGGTCACGCAGATCTTCATATTGTACTTTGACGGCCACCTCAACACCAGACTTGGTTCTGGCCCGATGTACCTGGGCAAGACTAGCTGCAGCAATAGGCTCTTTATCAAACGAGGCAAACAGCTCGTTTGGAGGCTTCCCGAAGTCCTCAAGTAATATACGCTCTATCTAGAGTTAATAGACACCAAAAAAGTTTTATATGAAAGTGAAAGTGTTCTCAACAAAAAGGATGGAATAATATTAACTATAAAGTTACAATGTCTGCAGACAGTTTTCATGACGCCAAACTCTTCGGATGCACTCAATACAGACGATACACGGCACACTGGTCCGCAGTCAGTTCCTGTATTTGTAGAACGTAGATTGCAACTGTCGTCGGCAGAAGGGAGAAGTGAAACGAGAATGTGAACGTGAAGGTAGGCACGACAAATTATGGTATATCCAGTCAGTAAAATAAGTTTGTTTGTGACTCAGACAGATTGAAGTGTTTCAGGCTAGTAACCGACCCGAATCTTCTGACCCCGTTCTGAAGGACAAAGGTGGATCGGACTACTCATCCGGCTATCTGCTTTGGATGAACTGTAAAACAGACTAGAAGAACAAACCGCCTCTAAAATTGCAATTAATGGGTAACCACAGGATGTGAGTCAGCTGGTGGAGCCGGTTAAAACCGACCATTGTTAAGTTTCACAACAAAAGTGAACGCATGGTTCGGGTACAGATGGGGCAACAATCGTAATGTGTGAGAAGTCCATTGGCATGATCCTTGTCGGTAGTTATGACTAACTATCGAGCCGGTACTCGGATAGTTTGGATTGTGCCAAGATCGTGCCAATCGCAAGGTGTGATAGACGACGGAACTACTCGAACAACAACGTCGCCCACACAGGACGTAAAGCATCCCATAAAGTAAACTATATTTCAAGTTAAACAAGCAAGCACGAAAAGAGTAAACGGGTATGTTTAACAAATCGGTCAGTCAAGTAGCAGGAACTTTAACTATGAAAAAAATACAAAGGATTGATAATGTAGTGATTGAATTTAATCTGCGTTCGGTTCAGCCCAATTGATTAGTCACAATCCGAGTGCCGAAGCACTCTGAATCATGTGGCCATTGAAACAATAACTAAGAAGGAATAAGGAAGAAAAAGTCGACTTAATTAGGACTATAAAATAAACACTAAACACACTTTATTGGATGGAAGGTTGAGAAGGGATCAAAGTCTAAAACATTGATTACATCACGGTCGCACCATGTCTGGGGAGGATTCTAACCAGTAAGAACCCAGTGAATACTTAGCAGAGTAATAAGCACCATCTCAGCTGAGCCGACGGGCATGCATTCATACCCATTTCATAGGTCTCTGACTGGTTACTGAGTTTCACTAGACGAGATACGCATCGGTAAATAATTCAAGCTGTGGTAGACGGACATCAGGAATGCGATAGACATGACCTACGACATGTGAGTGGTTCAAATTCAACAAACAATCAGGATCGACATCGAAGGGCGTATTGCTATCTGGTGGGCATCTGTATTGTTCGTTCGATGCCTCCTCCTCCCTGAGATATGGGCAATACTTCATGGTCCACAGTGACAGAAGATGATCAGTCTTCTAATGTTGTCAATGAGCAGGTGGCCATGCCGCTGATCCACACTGTAACATCAGTCGAGTAAGGTTGCTATGCTCATTAAACCGAAAGCTCATCTGTTACACAAAGGGTTAGAGCTCTGAAAAACCACAGTGACCTTACTGATGAACGTGATTGACACAGCTTCCTAGATAAATTATCAGCATAACATGGGTACGCCGCATCGATACAGTGCCACCATGTAACCGTGTACAGTTGCACTCAGGATGGAGTGCTGCATAGGCATCCAAAACCATGCAGCGGTGAGGACTCGAAATGGTGTAGTGACTGAAAACCAGACACCTGAACCAATACACCACGGACCCTATGCTACATACAAAAGTAGGCCAATCAACCGTTTGGGTGGTTACCCGGAAGATATTAAGAACTAGTGATAAGTCGGACAGGCCATTCAACAGTGCACTGCGCGCTGAAGCTGCGACGCACAACAGGATAAAGTAGTATCTTGATTAGCCTAAATAGCGGCTGTGTTTCACTGCAACAGGGCTTTAGCATCAGGACACTCTAGCTTTGTGAGCGGGCCACAAAGAGATACCTCAAGCTCAGAAAAGATAGACGGAGACAGTCATTCATGACTTTTTCGAAAACAACTGAAGAGGCAGACTCATCATACAGTTTAACGACGTAGGAGACAAAATTATGATGATTACTGAGAATACTTGTAGCTAGAGAAATAGATGAGGGCAATGGGTTGTTCTCCGAGATGGGTGTTTTGGTCACAAACGGTCGTTGCTAGGCTAGGTGACATCATCAGTGCCAACTTCTCTGGAGATTTCCACCGAGAGGTCAATTGCAGTGTTCACAACAATATGAAGGCATCAGCAGTACGCCGGTCCATCGTACCGACGCTTCGCTGCCATGCAGCCACCACCAGTAGCGCGTGGGCTAAGGATACTGCGGGGGTCGTCCGGTCCCCTACGCAGGCTTAAAACCGTGACCTCTGGATTACAAAGCAGACTTATGATCGTTTCGGCCACGGGCCGGCAACAATATGAGACACCCAGTGATTAGAACTCTGAAAATCGAATAGGAGCGACGGTAAATGGTGGTCCGTGAGATGGAGAACATCAGTGCTATTAGAAACACCAATGTTGTACCAGCTCTTCATCATGCCTTTAGAGGTGTGTCTCGTTTTACAGAGAATATACCGTTTATTTATTTATTTATTTATGCACAAGTCCAATGGACGCTTTCATGAGTGAAACAACAGCCGAAATTGGTGAACGATTGATTCACTCAGTCATACCAACTAGAACCCTAAGACGATCAGATTGAAGATCAACTAACTGTGCCGGTGTGACAAAATTGTTAGCTGAGCTACTGAACTGATCTGGGACGCTGAAGCAACAAGTCCCATCATCGACGAGATCCGGTAGGATATGACACTGCTGAGGCGGAACAAGGCACCTGATCAACACGAGCTCCCACCGTCGTTGATGAAGGATGGTGAGGACTCGCTAGTGACAGAGTACGTTGCAGGGTATGTTGCCGAAGCCAGTGACGGTACGGGACAATTTGGACAGACTGCCGTTTCAGTGGGTGGTTCACGCGTTTAAAGCGAAAGCCCTAGTGCAGGACTTGGCTGGGAGGTCACTAGTTCCCTACACTAGATGGACAATAATCGAAGTGCAATGTGCTCAACAAACATGAACTGAGCCAAAAGGGAGAAAGGAGAGCAGAAGGCGAATGGAAGCACAAGCTAAAGGGAAATAAAGGAAAATGGGCATGAAAGCTAGAGTGGAACTGTTTCACCGATCAGCCATTAGGAGTATGCGATGCGTTCAGTTACCTAAGTAGCTTTATCACCTTCAGTGGGCCATTGCGCTCAGTGGTACGGTGTGTATGACCTTTAATAACCTCGACAATATACGGATACAGCGAACTGATAGTTGGACAGTCAAAGGCGGAGTTGTCAATGATATAATGCGACCAGTGTGACCGCGCATCGAAAACATAGTTGGTGCGCATGGAATACATTAAAGAAATGTCCTTTGTCACAGATATTAATCAATGTTCGTATATAGTGGAAGCACCAAGTGAGAAACGCTAAGTTCCGACGACTGATATCCGGTAACAAACTCCCTGGCATTGTACTGAATAAGATGTTGAACCTGAATACTTTAGGTGAACCGACTGTTTACCTTGGTGCGCGACAGCTAATAGTGCAGCCCGTTTGATAAAACTGTTGGCGTCGTCAATCGACGATGTCCCTAAAAAGTGTGCGAAATTCCACTGAAAGACGGCCTTTATTGAACAGGGCTCATGTAATTTGTGGTTACGAAGCTGAGGCTGGCCAATTGCCCTGACATCGCAATCCGACATATGAAACTTCCTGGTCTCCATTTAATATACCTGTATGGCCGAATATTCCGCCACAGATGTTAAAGGTTACTAGAGTCGTATATCCGCCAGACATTATTAGCAGCAGGCATGTCTTCAATGTTGTAAAAGAAATTTCTAACCTGGACACTGGGTCACTAAAGAGCCTCTGGAACTTATGGATGTTCTCCGACGTGTTCCGGCTGGAAGCGAATATAGGGCGAAACTACATGCTAGCCTGAAGAAAGACCGCGAAGCCCGGTGGTGTCATCGTGCCTCGGAGATGTAAATAGCCACTGTCCTAGGTGACCATCGGACGTTATTCCGTTGGATACAAGAGTCGGGCAGCAGGAAATCTGGCGTCAGTGAGACCATATGCGACGAGAGTGGACAGCAGATCCACAGCTTGTCAAAGCGATTGGAGCGTTGGGCTTAACAATTCGAGAAGCAGTTCAATCAGTCAGAGTTGTCAGTTTCTCCAACGGCCAATGAGCGCCATAATCCCTGGGCCGTTCCCTTGGATGCGTCCTCGCACGCAGAAATCGAAATGGTGGGTTTTCAATTTTGCCCTAATGCTTTTCTTTACCATATAAATGCCTAGTTATACTCTCTTCTATGCACTTGCACACGTCGCTTAAGCCACTTGGTTATTTCGATAACATTTTCGCGTTGTAGCATTTCCGTAAAATAAACCTCCTGACCTCGTGAACTGACCTCGTATTCTTTTGTAAACAACTTATTTCATATGCTCACTAGTTTAAGATTTATGTCACCGTTTGCTTGCGTGCTAAATCTGTTTATTTCAAGTGGTGGGTTTTCAATTTTGTCCCAATGCTTTGCTTTCTCAAATAAATGTCTACCTGTACTTTCTTCTATAAACTTGCACACGTCACTTAAGCCAATTCCTGTCCTTTTCGAAAACATTTTTGTGTTCGTGGCATTTCCGTAAAGTATACTTTCTGACCTCGTGAACTTATCTCGCATTCTTCTGTAAACAATTTACTTCAGATGCTCATTACTTTAAGTTATATGTCACCATTTCCTTATGCATTACTCGATTTATTTTCTTTGTTATCTTTCTCTCAAGTGATTGGCTGTTGCTTGATATCCCCGGTGAGGCTGCGCTTGATGTGCATGTTGACAAGGTGCCTACCTGTCTATTACCCACTACATCGTCCATATTGGCTTTAGGAGAC